CATAATCAAAGGAGTTTTTGCAGAGAGATTTCTTCTTCTACTATCAGATTAGTTTACTTGTGTTATGGTTAATTTACTTGTGTTATACATTGAAAAAAAAACTTCAGGCAGCCACCAAACTTTAGACTCCACACTGTGCAGACTTGCTCCAAACAGGTCTGGGCAGCAGCTGGAAATGCTGATCTCTGCCAACATCCCAAACCTAAACCTGGTTTTCACAGGAGACTATCTCCAGCAGAACTGAACAGATGGAAAACTACAGAGAAGGAAGTTCAGCAGGTTAGACCAACAAAGCTGCTGCCCATGATCAAAACTGAGGAGTATTTAAACTAATTTTTTAACAGACTTCTAAGTGGGAATTTGGAAGCCACATTCAGGCTTTATGCAGCTCAAAAGATTAGGACACGGACCATGCTAAAGTTTGTGTAAGCTGGAACTTTTTGAAGTTCAGCTGAACATCTTTGAAGACAATTTAGCTCTAGCCTCCAGCTGCTTGGATCCCAGCAGCCTTGTTCCCGTAATCCCTGCTCACACTGGGCTGCGACTCGCCTGCCAGCACACGGCAAACTGCCAGCTGTGACAAGCACAAAACATTAAATCCATCAACAACCTGATGTCTGCTGGCTCTCAGATCCTTTATTCACAGGACTTTGGCTGGCCTGGCCAGAATTCATTCACCTGCCCTGCAGGATCTCCAGGAGGTACCAGATCCTGGAGAGGAAAACACTCAGGATGCGCTGCAGGAGTGACCCACTGAAGGAGCAGGGCCAGGGCAGAGTCCAGCCTCCAACCAGAGGAGAGCCTGAAGCCCAAAGCCAGTGACTGCTCCTGGGGAGCCCAGCTGGCCCTGCAGTGCTCTGTCCTTCCCCACTCTCACTCCACACACCAACCACATGTTCTGCAGAAACCCAGATTTCTATCTCACCAACAGCTTTATTGGATGTTATTCTGGCAGGCAACCAAACCACCACTGACTCTTGTCAGCTCAGATGAGCAAGATTTTATCCTCTGAGATCCCAAAGATCCACATCCTGCAGCAAAGCCTTCCCTTCCTCCTGGCACTGCTGACATGCCTTTACTTCTCTGCAATAACAGAGTACAAAGAGAAGCCCTAAGCAGAGGTCATCAACAGTGTGCTGCATCCTCTGCCCCACTCCCAGTTTAGAATAAAGGTCAGTAGGTCTCCTTCCACCCCTGCACATGTATCCTGTCCTCTCTGAGAGCTCAGCCAGCTCCTCCAGCAGCTGCCCAGCAGCTCCTGGCACATTCCTCTGGAGCTGCAAACACACTTCTCAGACTGAGTCTCACCCACACTGCTTTATCTGAACTGCTGGTGGTACTGCCTGGAGAGATCTCAGCCCCAGAGCAGATGAACAGCCCTGAAGGGCACCTGAACCCCTGCAGGAGCACAGCAGCTCCAGCTCATCCATCCCCCAGGGTGAGCAGGGCTGGGGCTCTGCCCTCCACCTGCAGACCTGATGTGTCCTATCTCACACAGCCCCACGCTGACCTTCACAGTCCCTGTCCCCCCACAGCAGCTCCACAACAGAGCTGGGAACAGATTTTTTTATTTCCATACATCATCTTCCTCTCCCTCACCAAGCTCCAGCTCCAACCCTCAAAGTAACAGCTGCTTCACGTATCTGAAGTTCTGGAAGGAGCAATCAAGTTGTTTATCCTGAAAGGCCTTGAAGCAGCAGCATCCCCCAGGCCACAGCAAAGTCACAAGTCCCACAGCCATTGTCAGCAGCCAGGAGCAGGGGCTGGAGCTCCCTCTGTGCAGAGCAGTGCTGGAACCCACTCCCAGCCTGTCCCAGCCACCCTCCCAAAAAGCCACGGAGGATGTGGCCCAGGGGACTCGGAGCACATCAGCTCCACTTTGCTGGCACTGCTACCATGGTCAGGCAATCAGTGGCCACACATGGGAATGGACAAGGGAGGCTGAATTTCTACATTTGAAGAAAAAGACCATTTGCATCTCAGAGAACAGTGGGGTGCAACTGGCAGGGCTGACACCCTCCTTCCTAATAAATCATTACCTCTGACTGCACAGCAAGCCATTGATCCACAGCATTTCCAGACCCTGCTGACCTGCTGTTTATCTCCCAGATTCCTGCTGGGCATCAGCAAACAGTTAAACTTTTCCAAGTTCTTGAAGTTTCACTAAACACTACTTTGTTGAGTATGGAGCATAATTAAAGATCTTTCAAAAGCAAGGTTTGGAAAGGAAGATGCTTGGCACAAGAAGGGCTTGTTCACCCCAAAAGACACAGAAGCTGCTCACTAAAACCAGCATCAGGTTTTGACACCCCAAAAAAGAAAGTGGATTGGTTTTAACAAATAACTGCAGCTCCCAGCTCACAAGAACAGTCTGTTTCTTCCCAATTCAGGCCAAAATCAAGTTTCTGAAAACCCCGACACAGCTACAAAACAGAACTCTTGTTTTTGGCTGGTTGCCTTGGAGACACAGAGTGATCTCTTGGGAAGAAACCAAGGAATGCATCTTAATACAAGCTCCTTCCTTTTCAGGCATCAACACTCAGCCTTATTACCCAGAGTAAAGCCACAAACATCCTCTAGGTCAAGAGTAAACAGAAATCTTTCCATTTGTTCCCCATCAGCATCTTCTAGACCCTGGCTACAAAGTCATCCTCTGTGCTTGACTGAGCAGGAAGGAACTGAAAGAAAAATGGGTGTTTCTCCCACACCACATTTAGTTTCACCCAGAAACTTGTGTCTTCACTACTTTCCTTCAGCTCCATCTTATTTTTCAAAGGATCCCTATTTGCTTCAGCTTCCTGAGTTCTGCAAATGTAACAGGCAGTTTCTCCTTTGCCTTTTAATCTCTCTCGTCTCAGAAACCAAATGTTTACACAAGTTCTCCTGCAGGACAACCCCACATACAGTTCTTAGAGAACAGCTGTGTGTGCACCTTGCAGTATTTGGCACCTCAGCTCCACAGCAGGGCAGCTAATGCTGTTAAGCTGATAAGAACAGGGGCAGAGAAGCTCCATGACCTGCCCAATGTCACACAAATCCACCACTGACACACAAAACAGTAGATATGGTGGATATTAACCAATATCACATGACATTTTAGGCTGGAAAGGTCCTCTGGAGGTCTCTAGCCCAAACTCCTGCCTTAAACAAGACTGACCTGCCAGCTGCTCAGAGCTTTCCCCTGGCAAGTTTCAGACAGCTCCAAGGCTGGACATGCCACGACTTCTCTGGGTTTGACGACCAAAAAACAATTCAGTCACTGCATTGGACTTGTGCTCATCTCCCTCCCTCCTTTTGTACTGTTAAGAATGCCTTCCACTGTGCACCATTTAAATGGTTTTACTCGAGGCTTTGTTCTTTGTGCCCCAACAGCATCCCCTGCTCAGAAAAATCAGCTCCTCAGCTCCATCAGAAGTGGGGCATATCCAAATATGACCATCCCACAAGATTCCCTCTGTGTCCTCTACTCCATCCTAAGAGCACCCACAAGTGTAACATGTTGTATTAATGTTTTCACCATTTATACCACATATTTGATTTGGTGTAAATCAAATTAACACCCCAAATTGAACCTGAACAGAGCAAAAACAGCTGCAATGAGTGCAAGCCAGCAGGTGCTTAGCAGCAGAACAACTCCAGTCTGACCAAGCATTTCCCTGTAGGAAAACAAGGAAAAACTTCAGGAGCACTGAGCAAGAATAAACAGTCCTGCTCATTTGCTTGTTCTGGATCTCAAGGTGCTCCAGACTTGCTCCCTGCATTAGTCACCATCAAATTACCACAGGCTGCATGTGCTTAGGGAGGAATTTGACAGCAGCACTCCCTGCCTCCCTTCAAATGAGATGCATCCTGCTCAAAGGATTGCCTCAAATTATAATGCTCAGCGCCTCAGGCACCCATGTACATTCAGTCCCTCAGTTATCTACCTGGATTTGGGTAACGGAAATGTCCAACAGCAATTCCCACTATGGAAAAACATGTCACATCACAGCCCTAAAAGTTGGGATCTGCCACTTCAGTGTGCTGCTTTCAGAGCCCAAAACTCTCCCCCACTCCTCTTATCACATCCAGAGGCATTTCACCAAGCTCTACAAAGATTAATTTTCAATTTAGGGCTCACAAGGATCTATGTTACTCCCCAAGCCTTGAGAAAATCTGGCATTCGCTCACTCCAAAGGCATTTGGAGCAATCAGCATCTCCCGGATCTTCAGAGCTGTAGCTGCACATTCAGAAGGAGCAGGTGGTATAATCCTATCAATGGGAGTTAAGTTCTTGCTGATCTCTTTCTGCCTAATCAAGACCTAATTCTTGAGCCTCTATCAATAGATCACTAATGCGGGGAAGACTCCAATGCCACAGGGGACCACGGGCAGCTCAACATGTCCAACCCCTCAGACACAGCGAGCCCACAGCTGCTCCAACCACGCAGCTCCCCCTGCTTTCCTAAATTCCTGAAATACTTTACTTTCCATTATCATACCTCCAAGAAGGGCTGGGGTGGGAGAGGCCCTGCAGCTATCACAGGGCATATCCCACCCTCAGCTGCTTTGTGGGACAGTCCCCAGTGTCCCCTCCCTGAGTACAAATTCTGTTTAACACACCAAGTTCCATCTCCCGGCTGCGGTCCTCAGGCTCCCTTTAAAGTTCCAGGAGACAGTAAAAGCAAACAAGACACTGGGCTTGCAAAGAGTTGCAAACTCTCCTAATATTGGATACCATAAGAAATACTAATCCCTGGTCCTTTCCTCACCATTCTGAAATGTCCTTCGCATCAGTGTGGTGGAGTTCCACCTTCCCTCTCCTGTTTTCCACCAGCCCCAAGGCTTCACTTCTGAGTCCGTTTTACGCCCTGCTTCAGCCAGCTCTGAGGGCAGCCTCTGGCTCCCACAAGGGGCAAACACACGGCCCGTGTTCCCAGCAGTGCCTCCCGAGCAGCCAAACCCAAAGCAGCCCCGGGCCACTTGCAGCCTGGCTGCTGAGCACAGAGGTGCCCCGTTACCTTCTTGCGGCGCGAGCCCGTCTTGCTCATGCAGGACCTCTCCAGGGACAGGTAACCCCCGATCACTTCGATCTCGTTCACCGTGGGGTAGCGCTTTTTATGGGATATCCCCACTTGAGGTCCATCAGCGTTCTCCACGGCTTTGCCTCTTCCTTTGCTCTCCTCCTCCTCCTCCTCTTCCTCCCGCTGTGGCTTTCCGCTGGCATCGGCGAGAGCCTGCAGCCCCGGGGCCACGGGCTTCCTTTTGGGCACGACAGTGAAGGTGCTGCCTCCCCTCTGCTGGGGGGCGGAATGTGGCCTGTAGAGGGGCACAGAGGAAAACTCCATCTCCAGGTCGGGGCCAGCTCCTCCGGGCTGATCCGCCAAGCTCCCCGTCCTCGCAGCCGGGCCAGCCCCGCTGTCCGGCTCCACAATGTCATCGATGTAAGTCACAGGTACCAACGGATCCAGAGGCGCCGGTGGGGAAGTGATGGGCTCTTCCTGCTCGGGGGCGGAAGCGCTCGGGGGCTCCTGGGGTGCCTTCTCCTCCGAGGGCGGTGGCGGTGGCCCTGGCCTGGCAATCTGGGCCGGCGGCCGAGCCGGGCTGCCCTCCCGGCGGGGCACGAAGACGAAGGAATTGCGCGAATTCAGGCGCAGCTTGGCCAGAGCCTGTGCCTGCAGGTCGTGGGCTGGGATGGCCGCCAGGTCGGGTTTGGGGGCCGGGTGGATTTCGAAGGAGCCCCCGGCCCGGGGGGCTGAGGCGGAGAGCGGCCGAGTGGCGCCGGTGGCACTGGGGGCCGGACTGGCACTGGGCAGGGGCGACACGGCCACTTCGGCCTCCTCCGGCTTTGGCCTCCTGGCGTTGGCTCTGGCATGGGAAGGGCTGGTGGATGGCACTGGTGGCCCCTTGGGCGTTGCGGGGCGGCCGGCGGGGACAGCACCGGGCTCGGGGACGCGGGCGCTGGGGGGCTGCCCCCGGGGTGTGACCGTGAAGGAGTTGGAGCTGATCTTGTGGAGAAAGCAGTTGGCCTGAGGGGCCGCAGCCTTGGGGGCAGCTGGGACCGCCTGGGGGGCTGCAGCCCGGGGGGGAGCTGGAGCCGGCTGGGGGGCTGCGGGCTCGGGGGTGAAAGCCCGGGGGGAAGCCGGGGCGGGCTGGGGGGACACGGGCTGTGGGGTGACAACCCGGGGAGGTGGTGCGGGCTGGGAGGTGACAGCCCGCAGGGGTGCCGTGGGTTGGGGGGTGACAGCCCGAGGAGAAACCGTGGGTGGGGGAGTGACAACCCGTGGGGGGGCGGTGGGCGGAGGGGTGACAGCCCGGGGGGAAGCCGGCGGCAGGACTGTGGGCTGGGGGGCCACCGGCACCGCTGGGGGGGTGGCAGCCCGGGGGGGAGCTGGGAGCGGAGGAGGGGTGGCCGGGACCGCCGGCGGAGATGCCGGTCCCGCCTTTGGCGCCGGAGCCCGGGGGAAGCCGGGTCCCTTCTGGAGGGGCGCGGGGGCGCAGGGGGAGCCGGGTCCCACAGGCGCAGCGGGCGGCGCGGCCCGGGCAGCGCCCGGTCCCACCTGCGGCGGAGCCGTGGCCCCGCCGGTCCCGGTCAGCGCGTCCCCAACGCGGCGACGGCGGCCCCGCGGCCGCTGCCCGAACTTCTCCAGGAGGCGGCTGACGGTGCCCGGCTCGGCCGCCTCGGGCGGCTCCGGCGGCTCGGCCGTCTCGTAGATGACGACCTGGTCGGCGCGGATCTCGGCGAGCGCGGCGCCGCGCCGGGCCAGCAGCTCCCGCAGCGGGTCGGCGCCGGCCGGGTCCCGGCGGCGGGCGGGCGGCGCATCCCCCGCGGCGAAGCAGGCGGCGGGGTCGGCGCGGGACTCGATGATGAGGATGTTGTCGGCGCGGATGGTGCGGATGCCGGGCACGGCGCTGTACAGCTCCAGCAGCTGCTGCAGCGGCCGCGCCGCGCCGCCGGGCCCGGGCCGCCCCTGCCGCAGCCGGCGCCGCTCGCTCTCCAGCCGCATGAAGGGATTCTCGCGGAGCGGGCCCAGGCTCTCCGCCACCACCAGCCGCTCCCCGGCCGGGGGCTCGGGCTCGCCGCCCGCCCCGGCCAGCTTGGCCCGCTTGCGCTCCAGGATCTCCCGCTGCCAGGCGGGCGCTGCCCGCGGCCCGGCGCCGAGCGGCGGCTCCGCGCTGCTCATGGCGGGGCCGGAGGTGCGCCGGGGCCGCCCCGCTCCGCTCCCCTCCCGGCCGGCTCCGGGCCGGGGTCAGCGCTCCGCCCCAGCTGCGCGGGATAGGGCCCCGGGGCTGCCGGACAGCGGCGGAATCCGGGCACGGTGATGTGACCTGAGGTTGGTGCCGCATCCCCGGGCTGGGAACGGCCGGGCCTCGCCGCCCGCATCGCCCTCCCCTCACACGGGAGATCCCCGGCCCGGGACACGAGCCGTGGTGACGGACACAGAATCCCAAAACACCCATATGTGCCCATTCCCCCATCCCGGACTGGTCCGTCTGGTGCCAGCCGAGGACAGGATCGATAAACGCTTTTCGGGGTCACCCTTGGGTGTCGGCCGTCATCGCAGGCGGAGCAGGTGCCTGTGCAGGAACAGGGAACCAGCCCCTGACTCTGGAGCAGTGTCTGTGGTATCCGGACCGTCAGAGGGGTGTTTTAGGGAGAGCTCTGATTGGACACAAGTGGAGTTTTCCATGGCACATGGCAGCAGAGCGGGAGAACACTTTTCCCATTTTGCTGTTCTTTGCTGCCCAGGGAGGTCGTGGATTCTTCCCTCTCTGGGGACATCCCAAACCCACCTGAAAGCGTTCCTGTGTCACCTGCTCCGGGTGACCCTGTCTAGGCAGGGGGCTGGACTGGACGATCGCCAGTGGTTCCGTCCAACCCCAGCTATTCTGTGATTCAGTGATTCATTGGCAGCCACTTGTTGGGCACAAAAGTGCCGCCGCGGCGTTATTTCCAGTCAGCGCCTGTTATCAGCCGCCCGCAGGTGTCTTTGGGAAGTGTGTGCAATCAGGAAACGATCTCTCTCGGCAGCGCAGCACTTCCCACGCCTCCCAAAGCCTCGCCTGGGAGACTCGGGGGCCACGGCACGCCGTGACATAAAATTACCTTTGGGCAGGACTCGGGGAGGTCCCCGAGCCGCGCCCAGCACGGGCGGCTGCGCCCGCCGGGAGCCGAAAGCACAGGTGTGTTTACGGGAGCAGCTCCGGATCCTGCTGATAAGGCTCCTACCTTTGCGCTCCCGAGCCACAACAGAGCAATCGCACCCTCTTCAAACGAGACCTGGAAATGATACCACTGGAAATAGCTTTTATTGCCGCAGCTGCCCGTGCCGGGTGTGTGCCCCGCGGAGCTGCGCTGCTGCGGAGCGGCGCTCTGGGGAGGAGGCAGCTCCGCGCCGTTCACCTCAAATAACTCCGGGGCGATGTGAGGCTCACGCATGACCTGCCGTACTCCCTCAAGCACAGGTCCATCACGCTCCATCTGCCTCCAGCCCTCGCCGGGCCACAGCGGGTGCCCGGGGCTGAGGATAAAGAGCGGAGCAAGCGGGTAGAGACATTTCCCCGCCTCTGGTGACTCATGGCTCAGGCACGTCCAGAGCCAACAATGTGCCTTTGTGCTCGGAGATCTCAATGGATTTCTCTTTCGTGGTGTTGTCTCCTTGGCTTTTGAGCCTGTGTAAAGCCCGTAAATCCTGAAATAATGAATCCCACACAGTTTTGCTGCACCTGGCGCAAAGAAAACGCCTCCTTTTGTGGACATTGAACCTGACATCTGCTAGTTTCACTGCATGCCCGCCTGCCTTTAGAACAAAACAATGAATCCAACCATTATTCATCCCCTCCCCTGCCAGTCAGGATTTGAGAGCCTTCTATCATTTCTGTCAACTGCTCCAAGCCTCGGCTGAGTCAGTGAAACAGTGTCAAGGGCTGGGCAGTGAAATTTGGCCGGCAAGCAGTGCCCTGGAGCTAATCCCCCGCTCCGCTGTGTTTACACCCGCGGGGAACCCCGGCGGAGTGCCCGGTGCTGGTCCCAGGAGGCTCTCGGGAATCCCGCTGGTATTTTGGCACAAGAGGGAATGCTCGATTACAAAACCCAGGTGTGATGATGACAGGGGCCAGCGCTGGCTGTGATCACAGAGAGGCTGTGATGGCAAAGTGCCACCGCGGGGCACCGACAGAGCGGGGCACGGCTGATGCGGCTGTGGAGCTGCAAGAGGAGGTGGCACATACAGCACGACAGCGGCTGGGTCTGAGGAACAGCCCCAAGTACAGCCAGGGGACGAGGGGACAGGCAGAGAGCAGGGCCCTGCACAGCGCCCACTCCAGTTTGTGTCCATCACCCACTGCCTGTAACAGCACCAAGGGAGAGGGAAGAAGCAATAAGGAAAAGTAATCCCTTGTAACTGGGCCTCTCCAGCAAATTTGACTTTGTACCTCATGGTGCAGATTTAAAACCAGGACACATGGAATGGTTCCAAGATAAAGGATAAGCAATCAATACCATCTTTCTGGGCACCAGGCCCTCCAGGCACCAGAGGTGCCACAAGGCTGTGCAGTGGGTGGTAAGGGATTAAAGGTGATTTCTGTCATCTGTCACGCAGCTGAGGTGAATATGGCACGTCCCACCTCACTGTGGTGGTGGCACATGGAAAATATCCCCAAATGGGGAGGATGGAGAAACGGAGGCTGAGATCCCAGGGCTGCAGAAAAATGGCTCAAATGACAGAGCTGTCCAGCCTGTTTCTCTTTGTGCTGAGGGGCTGCAGTTACCACGTCTGTCGGAAGATGATCGTGCAGGTGACTGTCAGCATTGGAGATAAGGGGGAAATTGCAGCTGGGAGTTCAAGCCAGGGCTGCTCCCTGTGGCAGTTCACTTAAACAGGCCCGTGGGAGAGAAAGTGGTTTAGCAGAATTCATTCACTGCCTTCTGCCCTCCTGGGGACCTGCTGTTTTGGAGCCGGTCTCTTTTCCCCAGGGGGATTACCAGGCCTTTAACCTCCCTTGGATTTCTCCAGGGCCCTGTTTCTGTGTCTGGGAGGGTGCTCAGGGATTAGCCTTCCTCCCAGGAAGAGGCACAATCCCTAATGCACTCGAAATTCCTTAGCACCCCATGCTCACTAAGCCGCATGCTGCTGGAACCTGAATCACTCTGAGCTATCTCTGTCCTATCCCCATGACTGGATTTGCAGCTCTCAGATGGTCCCTTGTTTAAATTATCAGGATTTTTTTGCTTTCCTCCCCTTTTAGCTGCACCTGGGTCTCTTGTCCCTCGTGAGCTCTGCTCCTGTGTGTTCAGCCGCTGCCATGCAGAGGTGCCTGGTGCCTGTAGGTCCCTCACCTGCACCACAGGTTCATCAGACCTCATTTCCCTCACACAGCATCTGCCAGGTGCCATTTCCTGGTTTAAAAACTCAGCCAGAGAACGACAACAACAACAATAACAAATGAGAAAAAACCAGCTTTCCCAGAAATGTCTCTTTTTATTAAATCATGTCTTTAGCCCTAGAAACATTTGTGTACTCGAGGCCTGCTTATCCCACACAAAGCAGCAGAGCCCCAGAGGAACCGAGGCAGCAGAGATGGCAGAGGGCTCCTGAGTCAGGCAGGGTTGGCCCCAGCCCTGGGGAGCAGCAGCTGCCAGAAACCACAGCAAGGGCGCTGGTGTCACTGTAACCTCCTTCTCACTTTTCCAAGGAGCCAGCCTGCTGCTCCAGGGCCCACTGAGACCTGGGAGAGCACAGTCTTTGTTTTCAAAACTCCCCATTTGCCTCATGACCACTTTGGCCCCAAACCAGCATGTCCCAGGTTGGGCTCTCCAACCCCAGGGCTCTCTTGGGCCCAGCATTTCCAGCTCCTTCTGGCCCTGCTGTGCCTTCAGCTTCCTGCTGGGATGGGAGAGCAAGGAGGGCTCCGAGTGCCCGGACGTGCTGGGCAGGTCTGTGTGCAGCCACACTGCCCTGCACTCCAGCTGGGCTTGGGAAAGGAGCAGGACGCTGTCAGCTCCCTCCAAACTCCACAGAGAGCAGAGGCAGAATCAGCAGAGTGGTTTATCTTTGCAAGGTTTGTCCGCTGATCAATTCCACTGAAGTGGTCTGGGGCTCCCCTCCATTATTTTGATAATGTTGCTTCTTTTTCTGTGAAAGGTGAAAGAAACTTGCTTGGTGAAAGAAACTTGCTCAATCATCTCAGAGTTTAGGGACATTACTGGACATAATCTCTCCATCTCCACATTTACCAGACCCATTGTCACTGTTTCCTTTTCTCCTTGCTACTCAGGCACTGAGTTTTCTGTTCAGAAAGCTGCTGGTGTCCCCTCTCTGCAGAAGCAAAGGGAGCTGGAAATGAAAACTGGTGCCAGAACTCCAAGGGGAAAAAGATCCCAAAAGGGTGCTGGCTCCCAGCCCTTGAGAGCTAAGGTTGTGTTGTTGCTTGGTATCACAACTGAAGTCACCCCAGTTCCAGGAATAGTGTTATTAAAGAACAACAGGAAATGCACAGCAGAAAAGCTACAGCCCGTTCAGCATGTTTGGGTACAACTCCAGCCCGGTTCCCTGGGATGGGGAACACCAAACCCGCTGGGTTCCTTCAGCCACCCCCACCTGAACCCCCAGCAAAGTCAGGTCTGAGCACAGGGGCACAGCAGGGAGCAGGATCCCTGCTCAGGGGCCTCACTTGGCTGTGTTTATCTCTGAGGTTTTTAGGGCACTGCAAAGCTAAGGGCAAAGATCCCTGTCCTTGAATTCCCAGCTCTATACCAGCTCCACCTTTACAGTACCTTGTAGGTGGGTCGGTATTACTGCAATGGAAAATTAGCACTAAAAATACAAATTAGAAACCAATTATCTCATAATCCCCCACTTTTTACTCAAGCTTTTTGAATCCATTCAACGTGCATCTGAGCTGTCCTGAGCTAGAGACCAGGGGATGGTGGCAGTGACCAGTCCCTGGTCCAGCGAGCAGTCCACAGCCTCAGCAGCAGCTCAGTCACCCAGGTACAGCCCAACACATCCCTGCAGCCCTGGGAGGAGAGTGGGAGCAGGGCACGGGCTGTGTCTGAGGGTGAGGCTGTAGAGAGGGGAAAAAGCACAGCAGGGGCCACCCCAGGACACAGGACCAGCGCCTGGGGACACGGGACCAGCGCCTGGGGACACGGGACCAGCACGTGGCTCCATCGGGTGCTTGG